CAAAGGGCACACAAGGAGCTTTAGATCCAGTGAGCCTCCAAGGGACTGCTGGTGTGTGCCATGCTGTGCTGCTGTGCCAAGGGGTGCCAAGGGATCTCAGCTCCCAGCCGAGACACGCAGCACCACAGACACATCCCAATGGCTGCCCCCACTCCTTGGGCTCTGTTTTATTGAACTGCAGCATCATAAATGGCTGGGGTGGGATGGGACCTCTCCAGCCCACTGCTGGGAGCTAAGTGAGTTGCCCTTGATCTGCTGCCTCCTTTCCCAGACAGCATGTCGTGCCCAGTTGTAGCTTCCATAGCTTCATTACGGATGACGTATCTCATACCACAGGGGATGATATTCACACAGCAGCTCTTGCTGTCTGACATCTGCATTTAGATTACAGCGTGGTGAAGCCCCCCACGCTCTGCACACCCAAGGCCCAACGCGTTCCCTTAACCTCTGTCCCCTCTCCCTGTTTGCAGGTGGGGATCCACGGCCCCGCATAGCCATGGGCAGGGATTTGTGCTTGAGTGTCCCCAGCCAGGGCAGTGCCACCCTCTGCCACCCCTTTCCTTGAGACGCCCAGCACGGCAAGCAGTGGTGGCTGTAGGTAGCCAGCCACAGGCTGGACTTGAAACCAGGCATGATGAGTTATTTATGAGCGGCGGGAGGGAAGTGGCGATAAATAATACATCGGTGCTCTCACATTCTGTGTGCGTGTATCTGTGGATAAATATTTCATTCACCAGGAATATGCGTAGATGCTTGTTGATAAATAAAAATTGGAAAATGTTCCATTGGGTGGCTTTAAATGAGACTCCAAGCTTGCATCCGAAGAACAGCGTGTACCCTGCTAGAGCACAAAGATTCTAATTTCCCTCAGCAGAGGCTGCCTCGACCGTATCATTGCGCAGCACCTGGTGCAGCACACACCCCAGAAACATACGGCCCAGCTCTCCTTCCACGCCGCTATTTTAGCATCACTTTCCTAGCAGTGGTATTCAGGCAGCTCCTCTAATTATACCTTGTACTGACTGGGCTGGGGATGCAGCTGTCAGGCTCTAAACACACGCAGACCCAGAAAGCAGCACATTGCCTTTTTCTGCATGCCATTGAAGCTCAGTGCGCTCAGGCATGGCTGATGATGCAGATCTCGTTAGTGCCGTTTAATTAGGCAGGTGGTTCTTCCCATAGGAAGAACACGAGATATGGAGAGGGACAACAACAAACCCATGAGCTTCATTGAGGCTGTTCTCCAGGCTCAGGCTGACATGCACAGCTCCTGGGCTCCCATTTCCTAATTTCCATGTGTTTGCAGAGCATGTTGCTCTCTGCTGGCTCCATTTACAAGTGCTGCAGGTGGAAAAGTTGAGCGTTCCTAGTCTGACCTGTTCCCCACGTTGCAGTGCTCCTCTTCTTCTAGTCCCTTAGTAGTGCTCAGGCTCCATTATATGTCATGAAATAAATTCAGAAGGAAGATGGGTGCTCTCATGCCTCATCTTCATTTTTCATTCCAGTTTATCACCCCAAATAAACTGGAGTAATTGTGCAGAAAATTACTCGGTCCACAGCATGCCTATGAGAAATTTCTGCTCTGGGTCAGTAGCAGCGGTGCCCCAGCACAGGGGGCCAGGTGAGGGGCTCCCCACTTCTTCACCAGGTGGGCACAGTGCAGTGCTCTCCACTGCTCTGGGATGAGCCTGAGGAGGGGCAAAACACCATCCCTGGCAACGCAGCTCACCTCCAGGCTGGTCTCTGCAGGTGGGTGCCGACATGGTTGTTCCCTGCAAGCACAGAGCCCACATCCCTGTCCTGCACATCTGGGTGTGAGGACAGGCAGAAGCAGGGCACAGGGACAAGCGACTGAACTGTCCTACATAACAGCACAAGGAGAGCCTCCACCCTGCAGAGTTGTGTGCTGCCCGCGACAAGCAGAAAGGCTGTAAAAATAGTGCCTATTGTGCAGTGTGCTGCAGGTGGGTTGTGTAACACGGCTCCACACAGGTGGCAGGAGGGCTGTGGGGATGTGGGGCAGCCGGGCATCAGCTTCATTCGGCATCTGTGCTCCTCTGGATGGCCCTGCTCTGTGCATTCCCAGCTGTGGAATGCCTTAGGGTTGCTAAATCCATCATAAGTCAACTTTCAGATTTATTTATCCAGCAATATCACCTCATTACGAGGGCGGTGGAGGCAGCCCAGCCACGGCTCCACATACCCCAGTTTTGCTGTGCCAGCGCTGCCTCTGCTCAGCAGGCACAGTGCAGGGCTTGGCCGTGTCTCACGGGGCGAGGGCCAGGACATAACCTGCCATATTTCCAAAGGGAAGGAAGGCTCCAAGCAGATCCTCCTCCAGGTTTCCTTCCCCCAAGCTTTTTCTCACCCTCTGCCTCTCCCCTGAGATAACAATCAGTGATACTGTGGTTTAATTAATGTTTTTGACTTCCAGCACACGGATGGGATTTCTCCTCTGTACTATTGCCAGAAGCCTTCTGTTCCTGCCAGGCAGCCAGGCAACCTGGGCCGGTGGGAGCAGCTCCATAGTGTTCCTGCAACTGCCAACCAGGCAAGGGGCCATGTGCTGAGGGCTGTGACCCAGAGCAGCCCACTTCACCTGGGTAAGAAAAAAGGGAGTGACCCATGGGCAGCTGTCCCCTGCTGGCTGTGGGCTCGTGGACCATCGGCTCCATCCCTGCCATGCAGCCCCTCTGCACCAAAATAACCACTCAGCTGTTGGCTCTGCTGCCCTAGGGCACCAAAATAGCCCTGCTAGCAGCCAGCGCATTGCTGTCGTCCAGGGCCCTTCTGCTTTTTTCGAAGATGCTCAGACGATGTAAAATTAGATTTCCTTTAAAACACAGCCCTACTGTTAAAAGAAATGCTAATAACACGTAGCTTCAGGGCTAAAGATGGAGCCAGGCCCACCGACGCCTTCACCATCCAAAGCGGCACTCGGGAGCCAAGGAGAGCTGCTCCAGAGCCAGCTCCTGCCACAGCTCACATCTCTGCACCCAGTGCAGGTGGCTGCCTCTAATTACAGGGAGGGCTTCTTCCCAGAGTGTTTAATTAGCGCCACAGGGCAGAGATGTGCTGTGAGAGCCAAGGCAGCCTTGGCACAGTCTGGTACGCAGCGTGGCCGTGCTGAGGAGCAGAGTGCATGGTGCATGGGAGCTCAGTGCGTGGCACTGCAGGGCACTCTGGCGCTCACAAGATGTTGGGGCGTCCCACTGGGACAGGCAGGAGCTGAGCCACACTGCGCAGCACAAATCCCCCACAGCAATCCGGCACCTCGGGGCTCCCCAGGGAGCGTGAGGCTCTCACAGCACCCTGAGCTGCTCAGCAGACGACTCCTTGAGGCCACCAAAGAGATCTTAAGAGCTTACGGCAGGTAAAGGTTTAACCTGCACTGAGCCCCACAGACAGGCCAGAGGGACAGCCCTGCAAAGCAGCTGCACCGCACACCTCTCCCCACCACGTCCCCCCAGCACCAGGTTGATTTTCTGTCTAGACAGTGGATTTGCCCTCCACACCTCAGCCACGCTTCTGTGTCATCTCACCAACACAGCAATAAAACAAGTGGCTTTTGTGCGCAGTTGCATGCTTAATTCCAAGCTGTGCCCACTGAGAAGCCTGAGAGAAATTGCACAGAGCAGAGCTGGTGCCCCAGGTGTGTTTTCGTAAATGAATTGGGAGGTTTCAGTGGGATCTTTAATACACACTAAGCAGGAGCCTGTCACAGATGAACCTCTTGCTAAGGGACAGCAGAATCTATCTTGTCTACAAGAGCAGATCAATCTGTGCAGATTTTCCCCAAGCGGTTTCTCAGTGCCATTAATGACTTGTCCCTCCCAGTTGCACAGAACTCCATTTGCAGATGCTGGATACCACAAATTACTTCACTCGCTTTCAAGATGCCGAAGCTGACCTTAAGCTCAATACTGCAAGTTATTGCAAGCATCTGCCCTGCTTTCCTCTGAGGTGCCATGAGGAAAACCGTGCTGCCTGGCTCCTTCCCAAGCTCCTGCATTCCTACACTTGGTGGGATCACGAATCTGCCCTGTGACAGCCACAGGAGCCCACTGCTGAGGCTTCCATGGGTTTTATCTCTGCACACAACTGTAGAGGGCGAAGGTGGCCGGGCACTTCAGTGTGGGTCAGCACAGAACTCCCAGCATCCAGGCAGCCACCTCAGGCTCCAGGTGACCAGGAGACAGCCGCCTCCTCCAGCTGAAGGTCCAGGCCTCTGAGAAACTCCCCAAGAACCCAGCCACAGGGGAACATGTGTGAACAGACAGAGCACTTCCATGTGAAAGGAGGGCTCCTCTGTATGGAAATGGAAGAACCAGGGAGACTGCAGTGCAGGGCCAACATGAAAAGCAAGCTCATGCATATGGACCTGGTGTGAGAGCCTACAAACCCCATCTGTGAACAGCCCTTGTGCTGAAGGGTTCCCACGTGTGCTTTACAGCTTCTTTACGCACAAAAACCCAATCCTGGACAGCAAATTGAGTCCTTTACCATCATGCTACATTTTCCACAAATTTCAAACTCTAAAAAAAGCAATTGATTACGAAGCTATTTAGATAATAACCATACAATTATATCACGAGAGAGAGGAAAGTAGCGAGAGAATTTATGAAAAGCCAGGCTTACTCAGCTTTTAACGCAGCACAAGTTTTCACTCAGGCATTTCTGAAATGAGGATTTTAAATTAAGGTTGATGATAGCTTGAAATAATAAGCTCCATACTGTCTACAAGGCTTTTATTCTATTAACTCCTGCATCGTGAACAGGATGATAAATTCACTCAGTGCTGGCCGTAAGCACCCATAAGACCTCAGATACAGCCATGCACATGCCCTTGCTGACAGCTCCCTGCAGGCTGTGGAGGCTCAGATCCATGTGACCACAGCTGGCTGATCCTTCAGCAGCCTGACTTTGCAAGCATTCTAAACTCTGTATGCTGGATACGTAACTGGGAAGCGCAATGGCAGCAGCACCTCTGCAACAGCACCTCTGCAACAGCACAGGAAAATTCAGGTCCCCGTTCCCCTGCCTGGTGATTTTCCATGGTCTGGTTACCCTTTGGACACCTCCCAAGTTCCTTCCTGCGGTGGTCTCTGAAATTCATTTAAACCAGGAAATTACCCTGCCTGTTTTTCTCCACCGACTCCATGTGTCCAGGCTGACAAATGATAGCAGGACAGGATGCCAGCCACCACTTAACTCTTCACCACCAATGTGGGACCCTTCTGCATGACACCTGGCCTCTGGGCCCACGTGAGCAGCACAGGGACACAGCAGCAAGTACTCAAAGTACCAAGGACCAAAGTACCAAGGGATGGTACCACGGAGCTGGGCTGCAGCCAGGCCAGGTTGAGACTGAATGGCCACACAGAGATGGCTGCTAGAAACAAGAATTGGGAAAGATGATGAATTGAGGCTGGGAAACAAAGCCAGCTTGAATTCTTTTGAAATGGAGAGCAGCTCCTCAGACAGCAGCAAACATGAGCCTGCCTGCACTGCCTGCACTGGGGAGGAAGATAAGAGCTTGCCTGGCCCCAGTCCAAGCAGCATGAAGGAGACGTGCCGAGGCAGCCAGCTGCTCCAAGACCTACTGCACCAGGATGGGCTTTGCTGGGCATAGCCAGAGGCCACACGGCTGTCCTGGGCTGCAACATTCCTTGCTTTGTACCATGAGTCAGAACCAGGCAGGGTGACACTGTCACGTCCTGCAGCAGGGCAGACAGGGACCCACACCTCCAGCAGAACCAGAGAAATGGGAGTGATTCACAGCCACTGGCAGGAGCTGGGCAGAGGGACAAGAAGAGCTGCTGGTTATTTCACAGCCTGCATCACACTAGCCCTGTAAATCAGATGAGGGAGACATAGCAGATTCATCGCTGTGGGATTAAATGCTATTTTCTCCCCTTTTTTTTTTTCTCTTTTTTGCTGGTGTTATGCCAACACCATCAAGCTTTGCTTCATCTCCCTCTCATTTCCAGGGGCTTTAAATAAAAGTTTCTCCCCTGTGCTGTGATGTAGGTAAACAAAGCATCAGCCCCTGGCCAGAGGGCTGGGGATGGAGCACCATGAGCCAGCAGCTGCATGGGGACAGGATAGCTGAGTGCCACCAGCAGAGCTCCAGTCCCCAAGACCATGGTGGCCTCAAGTGGCCCACCGCTGTCTGTAGCAGGTGGCCCATGTACAAACCACACCAGCAAAGGGAAGGATAGCTTTAGCTAGAAGCAAGTCTCCCGTTATATAGCCTGAACATTTAAACTGTTATAATCACAGAAAATATTCTATTTCCAGGGAAATAGATCACTTATGTGACAGCTGTAAAACCCTATTAATGAGAGGATAAGAGCTCTGAAGCTGCTACAAAATCCACTTGCTTTTTTTCTTTTTTTTTTTTTTTTTTTTTTTTTTTTTTTTGCCTTTAGTATAGCTTACAATTCAATTTACACTCAGGAACATTTGTTCAGCGTGGCAAAGTCAAGTTATGGACAGACACCCCAGCCCCAACCTGGTAGGAAACGTGGGGCAGGAGGACCGCTGGCAGCACCCAGCACCTCCCATCAGGGCTGCATTTTGGATGCTCAGACAAGTGCATTTTGTGTTGACTGTTGCACAGAACTGCAGTGCAGTGTCTCCATTTATTTGATTTGTATCGCCTGAAGGAAAAGGCTTTTGCTGTCTTCATGCACTCTAAGCATTTGGCTTCAAAATAAAAGCTCCAGGGACCTGTCATCACATGTGTTCTTTCCCATAAAGAAAGGGCAAGATGCAGCCTTTTGAAGCTGAATTGCAGAAAAGTGCTCAAGCTCTGTGCTGCTGCTTTGTGTTGCTCAGAGACGACCTTGCAAAGGTTGCTTTTTAAAGCAGCTGTCTCCTCTTCCTACAGTTTTACATTACAGCTGCCATGTCCTGACTTCCTTGCCTTACCTGGACGACTTTGATGGCCTTTGGAGGAGTTAGAAAAGGAATAACATCGCTCAGGCTCTTCCACCCTGAAGAAAAGCTCTCAGGACTTGATCCAACACAGCCACAGCGACCTCTCACCACAGACATCACAAGCACTCATGTGCACAGCACTCATGTGTAGCAGCCCAGTGCACCTCTGTGAGGTGGAAACGTTCTGTCTGCTGGGCTCTGGGCAATTCCCTGAGTGTCCAGTGAGCTTGGGCAGGACTTCCTCCCCCCAGCTGTGCAGAGGGCTGTGGCAGGTACACGATGTGTGCAACACACTGTGGACAGCCCTGCGTCTCTGGCCTCAGGACTGCATGCACAACCCAGTGCTGCTAGGAAAGAACACCAGCTCCCCAGTTTCTCCCAGCACAGGCACTGGTTTCTATCTTGGGTATCTCAGCTCTGTGCAATGCGCTTCCCACAGCGTTTGCCCCAGGCACCCGTCCTGGAGCAGAGGGTGGGATGCTGCTGCCTGTGGGGACCATGGCACTGCTACTGCAGCAACCCCTGCAGCAGCACAGCCTTAGCCAGCCAGCCAGCTCCTTCCTCACTACTAGAGGGAACAAAAAGGTATCCCAACCATTTACTGTACAATATAACAGAAAGATTCAAAAGCCACTTCCAGATCTGCACCACTCCCAAGCACTGTTTCGCTCCAAAAGCTTAAGCTTGCTCCAACAGCACTGCTCATGCTGCACCAGATCTCTCACCCTCTCTCCTCTCACTCTCCACCTCCTCTCCCTCCTCCTCCTGTTTTTTTCCATTTCTGCTTGGAGGAGCAGCAGAGATGAAGCACAGCCCTCCCTGGCTCTTCCTGCAGGCTCTGAATTGCCCAAACCAGTCAATTTGGTTCAGCCACTACACCTCTTTTGCACACTGCTGACAGTCTGCAGAAATCATGAATCTTTACTCTTCTCCTGGCACAGTGAGAGTGATGGGATACAAGTGTTCGCAGCTGGAGGATGCAGAAAGTCTGACCTGACCCACACACCATCCAGTGGCTGATGCTGCCCACAGCAATCACCTGCCAGCTCTCTGCGAGCTTCTTCCACCACCTCTAAGGAAAACATAAGCCTTAAAGGCACTCACAGGTTCTGCAGGCAACTCTGGCATTTAGGACACACACAGAGGCAGCCTGCAGCAATCGCAACTCAGCCATCAGCAGGGCCATGGGGCTGCTGACCCAGGAGCCCTTGCTTTCTCCAGCAGCTCCCTGCCCTACTTCTCTTTCATAAATGCGTAATTGTGACACAGATTACATAATTCATCATGTTACATCGACATCGGGGCCGTGCTCGTGCAGTTTATTCCATGGAGCACTGGAGCTGACACAGAGGGGACAAACTGTACTGCAGGAGGCTTTCTCATTCAGGGCCCAATTCCCAGAGGCCCTACGCCACAGGGGCTGTGACCCTCATTCAGCCCCATGAGACAGGGCAAGATTATCCAGGTGCCACCAATTTCTCCCTGCAGCCAAACAGACAAGTCTAAATCTACAAAATGGTGTCTCAACACATCACACTCTGCCATGCAGAGAGATGTGTGAACCAGCTATCGTTCCTGGGTTTGTTTTTTTGAAGGTCTGCAGACCTGCCTGACAAGTTGGTCTGATACCTTATAACCCATTTTCCTCCAGGTTTTTAATGCCACCTAACATTCTGAGGAAAAACATTGCATGTAAACAGATTCTTGCACTAAATTTGAAGCACAGGAAAGAATTAAAGATGCTATTTGGTTGTTATGAGCTGCTCCAAGGGATCAGTTCCTGATATTGCATAATTTAGTTCTTCAACCAGTAACTAAGTGGCTAGAAAAATCTTTCCTGGTAAGACAAGCAGATGACAGAGTTAACAGTGCTATGTACAGCAAAGAGCACGTGTTGCTGAAGTCAATGACCTGAGTCACACGGGGGGTGGCCTTGGCCCCAAGAGCACCTTAAAGCACAGTGAGGGCAGGGTCAGGCTGAGGATGAGAGGCGGTTGCAGAAGGATGCAGAGGATGAGAGGTCTGGTACAGGGAAGTAACAACTGAAGACAATACAGGGCTACCACTCCTAGGAACCCCTTAATCCTCAAAACTGTGCTGTCCTGCAGCATGATACCAAGAGCACCACTAAATCACAGTCCTGTTCCAGACAGCAATGAAAGCACAGGGTGGAAAGGGCTTCTGGAGGGCTTTGGTCCAACCTTCTGCTCTCTGCAGGGCTACCACAAACACTGGAACAAGCCACTCGAGTTGTGGAGATCCTTAAGCATGTGGACCCCCACAAACACCTCTTTGGTGACCTGTTCCAACACTGCACTAGCTCCTGGCACAGAAAGATGAGGGGGGGGGGAGGATACCCAAAAGGAAAGCTGCCTTGCTGATACAGTAAGCCTTCAACTGCAAAGGGAAGATGTTGTGGGCACAGTCAGAGAGCACAGACACACAAGGTGGGGTTACAAACCCTTCAACAAAATACCTAGCAGATTTTCCCAAAATGAAATGGGTCAGAGGTCGAGCAACTTACCAGCAACTAGGGGTCCTATTGCTACTGCAGGTCTTTAGCATCCCCCTAAAAAAGGAAGATGGACTGATAAGCTGTAAGTACTTGAGAATTAGCATGGCCCAGCAATGGAAGTCTCAGATCTCCCTTCCTCACCTTGGGAAGGCAAGAAGTTCTTATCTCCCCTCCCAGCACTGCCACCCTGCCCCAGATCTTCCCTCCCACCCCTCAAGTGCCCCAGAGGTTTCTGGCCCCCTAAATCCAAATTACTGATGCTTCTCACAATGAGCCGGCTCTGAAATACTGGTGCAGACAGGCATTATGGTAGCACCCCACCCTGCCACACACCTGGGCATAGCCAGGACCAGGTCACGGCCACCAAGCACAGGGTGATGCAATAAACAGAAAACCCTTCACTTCCTCACAGGCAAAGCAGCACTTGTGACTGCTGTCATCACCTAAGTAGCCTAGCCAGGACCAGCTGGGTGAATCACAGGACAAAGCCCATGGATGCCCAATAAAAAAGCCAGCAGGGCAATGCACAGGTGAGTTGTGTTAGGGTTGGGTGTTAGGGTAGCTGTCAGCTATACATGCTTGTTAGCAGCTGCCTGGGGCAGAAAAGCTCTTGTGCTAGCCAGATTTGCTTTCCATCATCTTAGTATTAGCTGATTTTGTGCTATTTATACCCACAGACCATCACCACAGCTAGGGCTGTGGGGCACGGGGCTGTAGCTAGGAAGCAGCACTATATGCTCTGGGATGTAATCTTCTCCAGGGTGCCTTCCTATTTCCTTTTTCACACCGAGCCAGCCCCTGCACAAGCCCCATGAGATAGCAGCAAATGCAGCATAGGAGCTCCTGCTTAGTCCTGCTGGAAGCACCTCAGGGCACAAGGGGCAAGCCAGACCTATCTGATGATGGGCAGCCCTGGCTTCAGTGCTCCCTGCACATGGCCTGGGATGTGCTGGTGGATGTGGAGGGGTTGGCACGGGTGGTTGGGGTATGAGGCAGCCTGTGAATCTGCTGGAGTGAGCGTGGCCACAGAGCTCACTGTTCCCCAACCTCTCCAAATAGCTGCCAGCACAGCTCTCAGGTGACACACAAACTGCACCATGTCCCAGCCACGCAGTGGCCTCCTTCAAAGAATGCGCAATTAAAAAGCAAGTTTCCTATTTGATCACTTACAGAGAAGGAATTAAGTGATGCATGCATCTTGCCTCAGCCTGTCCGCTCCGATGGCAGCTGCTCAGGTGCACCAGCAGTGGTACTGTTGGAGCCAAGGCAAGGAGGTGTCCCTGCTTGCACCCTGCCCCGTGGGCTGTGCGTGGAGAGCGATTTTGCAAACACAAACTAACCAAGCTGTCATTGCTTGTGCTTGGATAAAAGGTCCGCGCCTCCATTAGGGTGCACGTGAGCTAGAGATGACCAAGTTGTAACGCTGCTCCCTGCAGCTGGGGTGATGACTCCTACATTCTTTGTGTGCTCTTCCTTGTGCTGGAAGCTGAATGTGTTTCCTGGTGGTGTCCCAGCGGGGCAGGGAGGGGCACTGACCCCAGCTTGAGCTCAGCGGGGAGCAGAGCATCATGTTGTTCTTGCGCTGAACAAAAGGAAACAGCCGCGGCGGGCTGATGGTGTGGGGCTGTGATTGTGTCCATCCAAGCACGAGATCCATGCAGTAAGGCAGCTGCCTAAATAGAACAGGGTGAAGGGCGTGAGTTCACAGCACAGGGCAGCACATCGCGCCGAAGGAAGGAGCGGTGCGCACGAGAAAAAGCCTCTGCCGGCCCATCCAGGGGATGACGAATCCCGTAAGAAGGAGAGGTACTCAATAAGTATTTCTGTTCAGTGTTTGGAGGGCAAAAGCCAAACAATACAGCACATTATAAAATATAATAGCTATAAAACACTTCCCACCCTACGACGGCTTCAGGAAGATGTTGAACAATAGCTGCCGAGCTCGGATTTTCAAATCAGCAGCTCTGACACATGGCAGAGTGTAAAGGAGTGGGTGAGGAGTCGGCTAATGGGTGTCCCCAGGTGCTGGGATGACGACCTGCCATTACCGCCTGCAAGTAAACAGGATGTCCCACATCGGTGCAGCCCCACTGGCACCCAGCTGCACAGAGGGATGGGGTGGCGGCCGCCAGGGCTAATGGATGCAGTCCTGAAGTGAGGAAATGTAATCAGAGTCAATTAGTGCAGCACTATGGAAAAGAGATCTTGGCCCCTGTGTTGTTAATATTACCCATAGTGGTCAAATTTGTGACAGCGCTGATGGAGTGAGCTGTGTGTGTGTAAGGTGCTTGGCAGTGTGAGCTGGGAGGGAGGGAGTGCTGGAGCTGATACAGCTGAGGACTGATTCTCACTCCTCCCAGTCACAGTATCACTAAGGTTGGAAAAGATCTCTAAGATCATCCAATCCAACCATCTGTTTACCACCAATACTGCCCACAACCCTCAGTGCCGTGTCTCCACAACTGAACCTCCAGGGATGGTGACCCCACCACCTCCGTGGGCAGTCTGTGCCAGTGCATCACCACTCTCCTGGAAAAAGCAGATTTTTTTTAAAATCCAACCTGAAATTTCACACCACTGCAGCCCTGCAGTGAGCGCTGCGAGTGCCCGGGCCCTGGCAGAGTAGCTCTGGTTGCTGGGGAGAAAATAAATCATAAGTAGCAATAAGGAATACCTGGTTGATGAATATCCTGTCATCTTTGACATGCATGCCAGAAATAGAAGGGTGGTTAAGAGGGTGACTGTCAGGAGCATGATTAAAGACCCACCAAGGGAAATGAACATGAGCTGCCAATGGGAAGTAGCTGTGCTCACGTTTAAAGGCAATTACAGGTGGGTGATGAACACGGCCTGGCGGTGGCCACTGCCTTCTCTGTCATCTGTGTGTGACTGCAGGCTCTACGTGCTGGTGCTGCAGCAGCTCTCTGTACGGCCTCAGGTGTGGGCTGGGCTGACTGCTGGCAGACCCCATGGTCAGACCTCACACCACTGCCTCCCAGGTGGCCGGCAGAGGCGGCTGGTGGTATGGAGGAGCCCAGCAGCGGGACGCCGACGACACAGGGATGGCCTTCTGCCGCCCAGCTGGGGCACAGCACGTTACCCTCTTCTCCCTGCCCTGCAGGGGCCCACTTGGCGAGCACCCGCGGTGCTTCCCAGCACCAGCTTATGCGTGGGCCCTTCCTGGCGGCAGGCTCGGCCCTGCAGTGCTAATTAGCCGCTGGCTGCTGATTGCCAGGAAGCGCTGCTGCCGAGGTCACAGCCAGTGTGCTCCAGGAGAGGGGCCAGGCCAGACTGTGGGGCGGACCTTGGGTGTGAGAAGCCTTGTTGAGGGCACAGCAAAGGGAAAGGCGTACATGAGAGATGGGCTCTCAGCCTTCTGCACTTGCTCACATCCCAGAGCTGCATGTCCACTGCAGGGCAGGCAGGACACCCAACACTATGGACTGTGTGCTGAATGAAAACAGTCCAGCGAATGAAGGAAACGGTGGGACTGTTTAAAGCCTTTTTCTTATGAAGTCTAATAATAAGCCTCCCAAAAAGATGGCATGTACCCCTTGGTACACTTGGGAAGCAAGAGTAAGGCAGGAACAAACATCAGCCTTAAATTACTGTGAAAGCTGATCCTACCTTTTAACATTTAATGTGTAAAAAGCCTATGTCCCACCACATCTTGAGTGAAGCCTCTGCATCATAAGCATGGCCAATAACTATTGGAGACAATTCATGCCTCCTTCCGGCTGGTGCAAAAGCTGCCAGCAGATATTATCTTTCATGCTATCATTTTTCCCTCTGGAGCAGTAAGTTCAGAGATGGTGAGCATAAATCCATGCTGCAGGCGCAGCTAATGCTCTCCTCATGCAGCATGCACTGTGCTGAGTGGGACCCAGCTGTGGCATGGCCTGGAAAACAGGAGCAAATGTTTGAACTTGCAGCAGCAGATGTCCAGATCCCAAAACCCCCAAGTACAGGGGTTAAAGATGATGATTATCTAATCTGCCTAACCAAGAAGGTGCTCCAAGCCAGTATGGCCTCACCTCGGATCTGCCCAGGTGCAGCCCAGGCATTGGCCAGCAATGGGCTCTGCACCACTCCTTGCTTGGGTGACTTAGTTTTGTTTTGCTCTTTGATTTCTACCCAAAGACTTCTGATGCACAGACTCCCAGACAAGAGAAGAGTTTCTTTGGTGCTGAAATTGCTCACGGGCATCAGCACAGACAGCACCACGTCCTTGGTTTGCTCTCCAGCTCTCAGGATTGAACAGTGGAGGTGCTGGCAGGTAATTTCACCTCCCCTCATTCTGAAGGGGGGAAAATAGCAGAGGCCTCTGGGATTAGCTGCCCTCTCTGTGAGAAGCAGTTATCACTGCTCACTTGGCTCTCTGCAATCTTTTTGTCTATCATAAAATGTGTGTTGACTGAAGATCTCTGGCCTATCCAAACTTCTTCCCCAGCGAGCACAGGTCATGCAGTGAGCCTCTGCTCACACCAGTTATGTTTTGCTGGGAGCCAGCTGCTGTGTGCAAGGGCCTATCCTGAAGACATGGCTCTTATATAACCTGCCTTGTTTGAACAGGAGAAAGCCAATGCAATCTGAGAAACCACTGGGGAGCAACGCTGAGCAGCGCGGGAGGGGACCTGGTGCTCCGCGTAGGAGGCGGGATGGGAACAACACAGCTTGGCATGAAAGCCTGCATGAAGCTTTCCTTCCGTGTTGTCCTAGCACTGCGCTGAGCTGCGCTCCAGAGTGCTTCCAGCAGCTGTTTGTTACAGCAGTTTGAGAGGAGAAGAAACCTCCGCCTGGTTTCTTTCCCAGGCAGCAATGAGACTGCATTAAGAATGCTTCAGCATATAACAACAGACCACAGGCAAATGGTTTGAGCTTCAACAATGCTTGCAGCTGATAATGTTAATGCTAAACGTGTGGGACACCGCTCAAACTATACTTGAGCAAAACGAGGAGGAATATTTGCTTCCAGCTAATTGCCGAGCCTGTATGTTGTGCAAGGAAACAAAGAGCGTTCTAAATTAATTACCATCTGATCTTGAAGGTTGTGCAACAAAACTTCTCAGTTGCCTTCTCTCACCATCAAAAGAATTTGGGATGACGGGAGATTTCATGTTTTCGGCTCTGGAAGAGCAGAGGCGTGCCACAACAAGCCAGCTGTCTGCGTGCCCTGCCATCTGCGGAGCTCTTCTGGCAGTTCCCAGCTCGGAGGTGTTTCCTGGTGTGCAGTGTGGGGCTGCGGGCTGGGCAGTGAGCTGGGATGTGGGGAGCACAGCCTCACCCCAGCCCCGGACAGCCACCCTGAGCCAGAGCAGGCAGGCGGGATGGCACTGCACTCAGAGCAGCTCTGGAGCTGACATCCACCGCTGCGCACACAACAGTGGTGATTAATTACTCCTGTGCCACCAACCTTGGAATTTGGTCGTTTATCAT